GACAATTTTCTCAATCTTTAAACCCGGTAAAAAGAACATATATGAAATTCGCGATAAATATGATAAATATGATCGTGAAAAAGTATTTACCCTTTCCAAATATGAACATTTCCACATATAAAATAAATAAAATATCCAAAAACTTTAACCTCTAAATCATCTATTATATCATAAACGTCACCAACGAATTCATACCGCAACCATTACAAATACTTAGTGTCAGATATTTAAATTATTTCCATGCACGTTTACTTCAACTAAAACGTATACCAAATTCCTACAAACATAAAATTCACAAATAACTATCATTTCATTAAAATATAATTAAATTCAAAAACACTACTTAAAATATAAAAATAAGCACATACAAAATTAATAAAAAATTACCTTACAATCCTAATTACTTTAAACTAATCATTGCTAATAACAATTTTCTCAATAATACCAATTCCTTTCCACCTTACATTTAGAACAAGGCATAAAAAATAATATCCTCAAATAATTAAAAAAATACTAACTTACCTAATCTTCTTCAGAATCTTGATTACGTGTCCGATAAACTTTTCTTCTTTCTGTTCAGGATCTTTAAAATCATACTTATTTCTATCTCGCACAAAACATCTTTATTTCTATCTTGCACAACCTTAAACAAACATTTATTACTACCCTTTTCAATACCACTAAATACCCATTTCGAATTCACTTTAGTTACGGCCACGGGATCCAAAAATTAACCAACACTGTTTTCACACAACACAGAATAAAGTCAAATACAAAATTTCCAGATTTTTTTCCGATTTCCCCCCTTTTCCGATTAAAGAACCGTAATTCGTCTATTAATATCACATGACATATCCCATGATCTCTCATTTCCTTCACACAAAATAATGCGTAATCGGAACTGAGTACTGCTCACATTATTACCAAAGTCCCAGGTAGTAACCTTTACCGCCTCCAAAATGTCGCCAAACTACCAGTTACCATATTGTAAAGATCAACCAGATTATGTATTTTTTGTTTGCCTATATTGTAGAATTTGGTGCTTCTTTGACTTTTTAAGTGAAAATATATCGATGTGTACATGGATAAAGTAAAGGGAGTGCGCAATGCAAGTTTGTGCAATTCTGGGATTTTTTTAAAGTGAAAATAGTTCGACGTGTACATGGATAAAGTTAAAAGAGTGCGCAATGCCATTTTTGTGCAATTTGGGGATTTGTTTTATGTGAAAATAGGTCGACGTGTACATGGATAAAGTCAAAGAAGTGCGCAATGCCATTTTTTGTGCAATTCGAGGATTTTTTTTTTAAGTGAAAATAAGTTGATGTGTACATGAATACTGAGTTTGTGCAATTGTTTGGCTTGTTATTTTGGCTTTGTGTAGCGGTGCATTTTGGCACAAAAATTGCCGCTTTGCAAGCCAAAATAACGAGTCTAAGAATTGCACAAAATCAGTATCCATGTACTGCCAAAAATTGCCAAGGGGTACCCCTAAACTATACTTTTACCCACGGAAATTTCTAAATAAGGTAAGTGGATATTTCCTTGTTCTATTTAAAAGTAGTTTATCGAGATTATATATTTTTGTTGGCTGCTCCTTTAACTTTTTAAGTGAAAATATATTGATGTTTGCAGGGACAAAGTCAAGGGAGTACACAATGCCAAGTTTCTGCAATTCTATGTTTTTTAAGTGAAAATAGGTCGATGTGCACATGGACATCGAGTTTGTGCAATTTTTCGACTTGTTATTTTGGCTTTGTGTAGGGGCGATTTTTGGCACAAAAATGACTTGGCACGCAAAGCCAATATAACAAGTCAAAGAATTGCAGAAACTTGATGTCCGTGTACCGTGAAAAATCGCTAATTTTCGCCAAAAGGCACCCTATGGATTCACTCTTTTAGGATAATTCTACTAAAATTAATCTTAGGAGATAATAAAATCAATATTTCTTTAGTAAATAAATTATTCAAAAACATATTTTCTATGAAGCTTATAATTTATTTCACTTTAGGGTACTATTCTTTTATGCACCTGCCATGCACTTTGATGGGGGTTTTTTTAATTGCAAATATATAATTAAATGTACGGCTAGCCTATATTTGATGGTGCCCTTGCCAGGTTCTTTTGTTTATGGGAAACCTGAGTAAAGGGTGCCTGTTGGATTATCACCAAGTTGTTGTTTCATTTATGGTAACCTGAGTAGTTGAATGTTATGAAAACCCTATTACAATGTAATTGGTTGAGTGAATTTGACTGATGGGAAAAAATTTGTAAGGCCTTGTTTGTGTGTTGGATGTTGGTTAGGAAGTTGCTTATTTTTTGGTTTACACCATAAAAGGGCTGAATGTGGTAAGATTAATTTGAAATTTCTATACGATTTGGAACGAAAGGGGGGCATTGTCTGATGAATAAATGAAGATTTACTTAGTAGCAATTAAGTGTCCTGTTTGTACAAAGGAAATGAATATTGTCGAACGTAAAGATCTTTCAGATAGCTCTGAACGGGTTTGTTGCATGAAAGGTTCAAATGGTCACCATATAAAGCGTTCCGTTAGAAAGGGAAAATGGTTTGAGGAAAGTTTTTGGATGCTGTTTAGGAATTTTGTGTGCGACAGACTGAAGATACAGAAATTTCTAAATAAGATAGGTGGGTATTTCCTTTGTGTAGTGCTTTTTTAGGTTATTTCACTGTCAAATTTAAAACGCAGTTTATTGAGATTATATATTTTTTGTGCGCAATGCCGAGTTTGTGCAATTCTGTGATATTTTTTCAAGTGAAAATAGGTCGATATGTACATAGACATCGATTTTGTGCATTTCTTTGACTTGTTATTTTGGCTTTGTTTAGCGGCAATTTTTGCCTCGAAAATTGCCGCTAAAATACCAAATCAAAGAACTGCATAAACTCTGTGTCCACGTACTGCCAAAAATCGTCTAGTTGGCACTGTCAAACATAGTTTGTTACTTTTCAGTTCTGAAGCCGCAAGCAATAAAGTCGCCAGTAATGGTACAGCTGATGCCAAACGAAATATCCTCGCTGGTAACCTTTAACTTTTCCATTTTCAAAACAATTCGCATCCATTTTTTTTTTATCAGATTGATTGTTTCTTTCAATTCTGGCATACAATTACATAGAATTTTTACCAGACAGTTCAATTTTATGCCATAAATCCATTCGCACGCGGTAGTTAAGTCAATTAGGATGCAATCACACCGCTCATCCGATGGTGAAAATATAGAAAAGGCACAGTCAAGGGTTAAATTCATCAATTCAAATGAGAAAGCACTAGACAAGTAAAGCACTGTGATTTTTTGTAATTTCTGAGTAAGCTATCCATATGAATTGAAATTAATTTTGCATTTAAACTTTTATTTCAAATTAAGATTTAACTTGAAATTAATGTAGATAATTATTGAGAGAATTAGATTTTTGTAGCATAGTTTACGTGAGATGAGATCACGAGGAGTCACATGTTATGAACCGTCGAATCAGGATGTTGTACAATGAAAAGCAAAGTAAATTCTTAAATTAATGTGTTTTTTTACAATTTATTGGCTTTTTTAGAAAATTTTAAATGACATTAAAATGTTTATACCTTTAAAATAAAATATTCTTAGAACTAACATTCGTCAACCTTTTTTATGTGTATACTACGTGTTTTCGCCAATAAAGTCTGCTGGCGAGATTTGCGCCAGCAAAACGGAAAATTACCTATAGGTTTACCAAATGTAATAAATTAAACACACACGCACATAGACGGTTTGATCACTGGATGGTGCTATCATTGGCTTCAGTATGTGTTGGACTTATCTGTCAAAAAGCACAGCAGATGCATAAAATGGAAAAGTACCCATTTTAGACAGACAGTATTAAATTGTCAATGCCTGTATTAATATCTAATTACCTCTGCTTGCCTGATTCTGCAATAAGGAAGTAAAAGTTGTGCCTTAACATAGTGAGAATTACTTTCATAAATTGTAAACAACCATTGTGCTTTATTAGAAGAAAAACTAATAAAACTATGTAGATGACCTCTCCCATATTTCATTCTTTATAGTTATAAATATGGAATAAAATTGATTTACTTCACACACATTGTCAATTCTATGTATACTTAATAATGTCAATTTCTACGTTTATTTAATATACCAAGCTCTGACTTCACATCAATTATATATGGGCTAATATAATAATAAATGTATTAATTAGTAAAAGTGACTATGTATACATTTAAGGTAAATTTTATCTGAAATATCTTCTTTTATGCTAATAGCGCAAAATATTTATAAAAATTACTACTTAAATATATCATAAATTATATGATTAAGATGCTCTATGAGTTTTAAGATTTTTCAAACAAAAGAAAGATCAAAAGATTATAAGTTATTTATATCAATGATTATTTTTTTAAATAAAAATTATTAAGAAGAATTTGTTTTTAATTGCTCAGCTTTTTAAGATAAAGATTTGAGACAATGAATAGGAATGCTTCAAAATTTGGCAGTTTGCAAAGATAATTTTCAATTTGATGTTAAATAAAGCATGTCTGTATGAGTATATTCACACCTTTATGCAAGTCAGCCAGTATTTGCCAACTCGGAAACCCTCCAAAGTATGCTGGAAATCATAATTAGATTTTAACTTGAAAACAGCAATTATATTAAGATAAACAAAAATCCTGCCTGTATGAAAATGCTGCATCTTTATGACCATTTTTCCCCCCAAACAAAAAACTGACCTTTATAGAAGTTCTGGCCCTTTTATACCTTTAACACTGGATGACCGGCATAAGAAGCAAGCATACACATGCAGCAGTTCCATAAATACCTGATATTGTAGCATAAAGATTAAATTATGTATGTTTCCTATCACATAAATGATCATTTTAAATTAAAATCACCATGTTGTAATATTATGGGTGTTTAATTAAGTGGGTTATTAACTGCAAATGGTTGAGAATCATTGCTCTAGTCTACTTGTCTGTGGTGAAAGCCAACATACCTTAAGGATTAAACCCTTAGCGACAGCCTTCTCTAAGTGTTCAAAAACTGTCTGGTGATCAACTTTGTGCCTCTGGCGGACCACACTGTATATACGATCCAGGCATGGCCGCTGCTTTTGAAACTTCACTTTTCTTATGGCATCAATAAGCCACTTCGTTACAGCAGAATTTCCCTCCTCATCATCGCTGCCTTCATCCTGCAACCTTTCCTCTCGCATCTCTTTTCTATGCATGACCTTTTAGAGGCTTCTTGCGGCAGAGAGACATTTCAAAACCCATAAACATATTTATGCTCTCTGGCAATCCTCAGAAATATTCAGCATAAGACTTACATTCTACACAGGCTGCTAATTGACAAATACTTCAAAAAGCAGCGAAGGAAACCTGAAAATATAAAAATAATAAAAAACAAGAAAAACAAAAATAACGTTTAAATAGGTAGCTAACAGGAGGATACCTCAATGAAATTTAAAGCAATAAAAATAAATTAAAACTAAAAGAGAAAAAGTTTTTTTTTAATTATTTATTTATTTATTTTTTGGCATAGCATATTATGATGGAGCCCCTTACTGCTTGCTACCATCCATATCAATGCATCTATCTATACCTGTGATACTGTCTGGCTGAAACTTTATAGAAATTGCATACCAAATAGTTCCAAGACCTAACTATGTATCATGGCCACAGAACGTAAATGTTTAAAATATTGTTAAGAGAACTAAATGCAGCATAAGATTGTATGTTGCCAGAAATTGCCAAAATTGTTGGAACACAAATTTGGCAGAAATTCGGCAGTCTGGTCATTATTTCCACCATAAAAACAGATCTATTAGTAATAAATAAAAGTGTACTGTCTAATATGTTTGTGCATGTACAGGATGAGATGATGCAAGCCTTTCAAATGATAACATCAATGTACACAACAAAATAAATTTTTTACAGTTCAAGTGATTAATTGGATAATCATAACAATGGAGCTGTATCATCATCATTTAGATATGTATGGCATGATTTTTTTCTTGCTTTTATTACGACAACATTTCTTGACGTATCATCATGAATAAGTACTGATATTTTTGAATGAATAGTTTCTTTGTTATGATAATTTATACACGGAAAAGTCAATGCTTAGGTGAAAAATTACTGTATGTTAGCTTTTTCACTAAATTTATTAGCCTTCAGTATAAGCTTGCCTTTCATTCTAAAACTCAAATAACCCCAAACTGCAAAGTTCATTTTGAAATTTAAGCACTGCTCAGTTTCAGAAATATAAAAATAGACCCTTGCATGATGATATGAGTAGAAATTATGAGTTGCTAATCATACCAAGCACTTACTGCCAATATAAATCCATTTCCCATGGATTTAAATTGAAAGTAAGGACTTAGAAGTAAAAAATGTAATTACTTCCTTTTGTTAGCTGTAAGATGATGCAGTTGGATATATTCATTATTGTAAAACACATGGCAGAAACGCTAGATATTATATACTGACCAACACATAAAAATTTAAAACTTTAAGTAACTGGAAACCTGCGTAATTACTGCTTATATTCTTGTATTAGGGTTTATGCATTTAACTCGAAAAATTTCCTTGAAACTTAAATATTTTATTCTCCTATCTAATTCTGTTTCACCACTTTTAACAACTTTACAATGTTTACAACAAATGAGCACTTTTTTCCTCACAAGATTTCTTATGCTTAAAATGTGTATCAATCAATACTTACCATTGAGATGATACGTAAAACTGATTATTTAATGGTGGTGATGTCCAGACAGTATATACTTGACAGAAGAGTACTCCGAAGATCTAAAATACATGCATGGTAAGATTGGGAATTTGATATTTGGTTTCCCAAGTGTTTATTTTACCAGCAACTCTAGAGCTGCTCGGAAGATTAATAGATATTATTGTACGTAACGCATCATTAACGTATTATCAGTATCTGATTAACAACGAATAAAAACTTACCATTTTCAAATTTAACACTTCAGAAGCTTGTCACATTCACTTCCCCAAATTTCATATCCGTAGCATATACTAGTAGAAAATGGAGTACTTATTATTATAAGTTTAAAGAATGATACTCCAACGCTCAAAAAATCTTGCAACAGCACAATCGCTTGTTAAATCAGGCTAACATTTTTCACAACTTAACGTTACCACGACTCTTGGATGACACAAAAACTAGAAAAGTCATATACACATAGCATTAAATACACAATCAAGCATGAACGTAAATGAACCGTAATTTACACACTGATCCTTTCGTTAAATTTATGAAATACATCCGTAGAGCAATCAAGTAGAATGTGATAAAGGCTTCCAAACAAAAGGCAGACATGTAAATATGGCTGCAGAAGAAATACTAAATCGCTTCATCAAACTTTGGTAAACTTCAAACTCAAGTATATGACGTTTAAGACTACACACAGAGTACAGATACACATTTACACACACATACGTATCAGAAATATTGCATATTTTTTCCTATGTTCAAACAGTAAAATCAGAAGGAGCACAATTACTCGCAAATATGTGTAGCGTTCATATATGCTGTCTATAGAGCTCTCAACCACGTACTTTTCATCATACAACAAAGATACGTTAAATTACGAAATATGATTGGTTCGTTTTATTGGAAAAAAATTGACAACTACAGCAAAAAAGTTGTAGTTCTGTGTATTACCGCAAGGGTATTTTCTAATCCAAATCCATCTGAAATCCGCGATTATAATGTTCATTAGGATAATGTAAAGGTAGACTGTAATAAAGAGAACTATACAGCGTTGATTTCGTTCTGTAAGCGATGTATAATAATAATCCTAAATTACGAAATAAATTATATTAGTAAATTAAATGAAAATCAAATTAAGTTCATTTGTTTAGGATAATGAATTTAGCTTCAAGGACACAATTAGATACAAATTTCCATTAGACATGTATTTTATATGCCATAAAGATATCAATGTAAAACAGTGAGTAATTTCTCAAATTAAAAGTATGAGCGAATTCCAGTTTTAGAAAATCTTCATTTAAAATAATTATTTTTTCTCCCTGTGATTTGCAAATACTACTTTTATTCGGTAAATTATGAGAAATGTTTTGTTTAAATAATAGTTTTCTGTCTTCTTTTCCACCATAGCTGTTGTGAGTGAAGATAAATAGCTTGTAATTAGCCGTGACCCCGAACTAGCACCCACGTACGTATACGTATGTGGGGGTCCACAGGACGTATCATTTCTAACGCTTTTACCTTACATACAGTAATTAGCTTCTCAGGGAAGACTATTTACTCAAAATGACACTACACGCTTCCTATCTAGAGTCACAATGCAATTCAGACAGAAATCTATGGTAAGTATGGAACTAGGGGTCTAGTCTGGACACCAGTGGATATCGGAAAACAAGTCGGGATTCTCTTCCTACTCGACAGCAGACGGGAGAGCGAGTCTCACCCTTTGAAATTCCGTCGACGGAGAATGAAGTGGAAATTCCGCGCGGAAGTCACGTTTATTGCATAGCAACCAGTCTCTCTGATCTCTTCATTGTTCGAGACTCTGCATTGCATCTAGGAGAATATGGCTTGTTCCGACCAACGACTCCATATAACAGTATGTATCTCGTAGGTTCCGATGGGCCCAAACCGTTTCATGTATTTGTATTTCTGCCACATCGAACGTATACAATCTTAAGGACGAATCCGCTTCTCGCTAATAATATCCTTCCTATTTTAACCCATCTGCGTGTTTTTTTTCTTGCAAATATTTAATTATTTAATCAATCATTATTCCTACTTTATTGTTTAAAATTATTTAATCCATTGTTATTTTGAATATTTAAGCTTTGAATTATTTTAAATTGAGCTCCTCGTTATTTTTAATTGATTCCATTATTTATTTTACTAGCAATACTTAAATTTTAAAATACTTGTGTAAAAACCGCTACTTGTCGCATCGGAGACTGACACTTTACCAAATGTCGTACTTTTCTCCTTTTAATTCGGTTATTTGACATTTTCAATCATATCACTAGACAATCACAAAATTAATCTGGATTAATCGATTGCGCATGCGCCAGCCTGTTCCGATTGCCAAAACCAATTTACGTCTTTGTTCTTCTGCCACGGCTAACGTATACAATTTTAAGGAGCAATCCGCTTTTCGCTTATAATATGCTTCCTTTTTTAACTCATCAGCATGTTTGTTTCTTGCCGACAAAAGTCTTTCACCTATACATTTGCTGCTTTGACAGTTGCAATCATTGGGACAGTTCGGCTTCTTCTCCTTTAAATAATAGCATCAATAATGCAATTAATCTGCATAATAGCATAATAATTTATATAAACAAGAGCATCCGCGTTATAATGAATAGCTGCCAATTCGCAAAGACAGATCTCACTCTCCCGCATTACATCAGAATAAAACTCAGAGACAAAAACAGGCGTAGGAATGTCGCTCAACAAACACAAGATCCGTGAGGTAGAAGAAGGTTAAACCATAGCAATAGTACCTTGACCTCAGTGTACCATGACGGAGTAACGAGACGAAGCGCGGAATAAATTTGTGAACAGTCAGTCTTTCTCCCACGGGTCACTTGATATGGAGAATTTGCAAAAGTGCTTAGAAAAGGTGAAAATAATATTCGACCCATGATTTTTCATGAATAACAAACTAATCCATAGCCCGGACCAAATTGCTAATGTATTTGCAGACAGTTACGAGGAGCAGTTCAATAGTAACAACTTTCCCATCCATAATGATATTAATGTTTATAATCCTATTACGGACTTCAATAATAATAATTGTTCTGCTAATCTTTAGAATATGGCAACAGCCGGATAACAATATATGAATCGCGCGTTATTCGCGGCTTGCAGCGGAAGCTGAAGTTTGCAACCATTTCAACCTTCCGCTCTTGTAGTATATTTTATATTTTGTGTCTGTGAGGAGTTGAGGGTCACGGATTAGACTTAGTTCGGAACCAACAAAGGAACCGAACTGTGTAAATGTATTTGGAGTAGTGTTTTTTGATTTTAATATTGTAGAAATTTCTTCCAGTGTTGTTGTGGCTGCTGTGTAAATGTGATCGTGTTTCTGTTTTTTGTTTGAAGTTGTAGTGTTTGATGTGTGTCTTTTTAGCTGTGGTAGTGTTTGTGTATGACATAGTTCTCTCTGTGTCTCTTCAGTGTCTTCAAAATCGTTCATGTCAAACATCTCCTCAGAATGACTGGTAACTTCTGCACTTCTTTCTTGTGTACTAGTATCATTAAAATCCTGAAAATTAAAATAACACTTTAACTTTTTTTACTATTACAGCTATCATTCATTCATATATAACAAATCATAATTAACAAGCTATGGGAAAACATGCAGAAATAAATATTTATAAGGATAATGAATATATTTCCTAAGCTTGATTTTTCAAGAGATATCAAAGTTGAATAGTCAAATATCTTGAATAAGAATACGAAAAAACCTCGTAATTCTGCTGTCTAAGTTGTAGCGTATTTGGTATCAATAAAAACATGCAATACATATATTTAAAAGAAAATATATAAAAAAGTTAATGCTTATGTTTAAGTATGTTAAAAGTAACAAAATATTGACTAACGTATGTCTGATTTAGCTGTGAATATAAGTTTATCATTGAAAATGGTGTATATATATATATATATATATATATAAACTGAGAAGAAAGCAAAGCTAATAATTACTACAGTAAAAAGAAATAATTTGAGTGTTTTTAAAAGAACAGTATCTGTGCATGTACATCCCATATTTTTATAACTTTTCAATGTGAAGCGGAGTTGGACTTCATTTACTTGTAAAAACTTGAACAATATGAGTAAGATTTTGATAGTAATAATTACTTAAAATGCAATAAGAATTCATGTTTCTCTATTAATATTTTAAAATTAGAGGTAGTCACATATTATCTCAACCACCTTAATAAAAATTGCCATACTCTGCACATAAAAATTTCACCGGCAACCTTGTTCATAAAAATCCTTCAGTCAAGCAATGTTTCAATTGTTTATTTTTGTTGTATTTGGAATTCTAATGATTTTGACAGACATCGTAATTTTTTTGGGGGGAGTTGGGAACCTTTAACTTACTTTTAAAATATCACTTGTGGAATCTGCCAGCAATGGAAGAAACTGCAGTAAAAATTCTGCAGAATATAGTATTTTGTCACAAAACTGTTAACGCAAACAGCGATGAGATGTGTTTGGTAAACAGTTGATGTGCAGTACAAGTTTATGCAATTTATTGGTTTTTTTAAGTGAAAACAGATCACTGTGTACATGGAGAAAAGAATAACGCTAAAAGTTAGAGAAGTATTTTGCAAATTCATAAGTGTTTTATTTTTTAGTACTTAACATATTAGCGTAATCACCTCAAGTTTGGCAAATTTTTATAAATGAAAAAGAATGAGGGTAATGTTGCTTGACTGAAGGAATGTTTATGAGCATGGTTGCCTAAAGTATTGTTATGCTCATGGTCGACAGATTTTAGCACATTCTGGAAATTTAAAAGAGCTTGTACTAAAGTGCTTGTGATAACATGTAAGATCCTATTTTTTAATGTATGATATAATTTTTACTTAATAATTAAAATTCATGTTAAGATTTTTCGGCTTTTTTCGGTAGGTCGATAATACTTTGCTGACTTACTATCAGATATTTGGGAATGGTATTTTTTTTAAAAAAAAAAGTCATAAAAACCACTAACTTGTACCAGTAAGTAATTTTTACCTTTACATTTATAAAGACCACCAAATATGTGACAAGGTGGTTGTGTTAATACATGAGTACCAAAATAGACTTACGAAGAGAAATTTAAGTACCTTAACTCTCATTTCAAAATAAATTACATATGCTTTTCTGGATGTTAGACTAATTGATTAAGACAATGCAATTCAAGGACTATCTGCCTATAGAGAGGGATGCTTCATAGAAGAATTTTTAGGGAAAAATGGCTCGTATCCATGTTCTGCATAGGAAAAAACAAAAACCAACCTTACAGTCAGCTTATTTGCTGGCATTCGAACACTGGTCAAATTACCAGTTATTTAGCAGTTTTACTGCTCAGCTATTTTGGAAATTATCAATAGAATATCATTCATTGGAAAAAAGATTAGGTCTTCATATAAATTCAAAATATAACTTCTACTAACTGTGACACTTCTGATTTTAGAAATTAAGCCCTGGTCCTATCCACTTTTACCTATACTTTAATGGGTATTGCACCTATACTTTAATGGGAAATGGGATTATTTTTAAGTAAATGAGCTTAAGAATAGTCTTTAAATATAAAGATTTCACTTAAGAAATTAAATAGCACACATAGTTGTAAAAGGATAAATAAAATAATACTTTTGTACTGAAGTTATATAGAAATTGCTGTGAGTGTGAACTTTTGCAGATGACCCATCTGCTGCATGAGCTTGAAGATTTGGCTAATATAATTTACACAGCTAAGTATGTATAACAATATTATTTTATTTATCACAAAAACTGTTAAAAGTTTTGCCTATATTAAAAACAATTCTATAAA